CTGTTCCCCCCCCCCCTCCTTCGTGTTTGTAGAAAACCGTTGATGTTATACATGTATTGATTGTGTTTCTATGTTTCATCACAGGAGGGGCAGACTCCCCTCCGCCAGATGAGGCAGACAGGGAAAGCTGGAAGAGAACAGAGAAGGGCAGTTTTCCTCGTGGGCGAAGTCTACAGCGATGTCTGCGGGTTTCGTGGTAGAAAGTTTGGGACCCTCTCATTCCATTTGAAAGAACCGTGCAAGGGGCGGAGAAGTTGCCATGGGTTTGTCGCTCTTGCAGGAATTGGGGTCCCGGCTCCCAGGGGATTTGTGGGGGAAGAGGGCGGGTAGAGACGATGGTGGTGACCTTTTATTTTTACGTGTTTGAAATGTGTGTTTCATTGCAAACTCCGAATGCAATGTCTTCTGTCTGAGGTTGTAGATACGGTTGGTGGAATTGCCTGGAATAGTGCAGGTATTTAGAAAGTTTCTTAAGGAAGAGAAATTGACTCAGTCCATGTTTCTGCATGGAAATGGAGCGGGAGTGGATGTGGCTCAGTACTCGATCACCTCCCCACGATACAAGATGAGGACAGAGTCCGAGTCTAAAAGGAAAAGCAGGGAGGCGTTGGAAGTTACAGAGGATTGGGAGGCTAGTGTGCACCTTGCAAGGCTGGTGGAAATCGTTTTCTGGAGAATGTGTCTAGAGGGCAGATACCCCTTTTGATTGCTGATTTTTAAAGTCTATGGGTATGACACTGTAGCCTCTCCCAAAAGGATGGCAAAGTTGAAAGGAATCTGTACAAGATTTGGCTCAAATGCTGAATAATTCTAAACGGTTCCCACCTGCTCCTCGCTTACTTTGGAGATCAAAATTGCTGTGATTGTTTTAAGAAAACAGAGAAATGGAGATGATGGGGAATCATCTTTCATTTGCTGGAAGTTGGGAACCTTTGACATGCACTTAAAAATAAATGCTCCCCCTCCTTTGATCCTCTGTGTTTGGGTCAGCATGGGACATGCCTGTCTTAATAGGATTTTGGTTAATGTCGTTTTCACCAAAGACGGTGGCTTGAAGAGTTCTAGCGTGTTCTGTTCGAATAGCCAAGTAATCGACGATCTTGGCAGTAATTGCTTCTGCTGCACACCTAATGTGGATCGCATGTGAGAAATTACGTGCGCTCATTTCGGGTCTATATGGGATTTGTAAGGTATGTATTTGTGTTTGATCCGGTATTTCCTCTCGCCACATTCCTTCACTCCTTCTTGTCACTTCAACTAGCAGAATATTTTAAAAATTTCTGGAGCATGGGTTTCGTATATTCTTTAAGGGCTGTGCTTCATCACAAACGATGCAGAAGGCTAACCTCTCCCTGTCCTTGCTTATCAATACTATTTGCTTGTTTTAAACAGTTTGGTTTAGATGCAGTTTTTAAGACATTCAGACGCTGTGCCTCCATGGCTCCGTTTCTCCGGACGTGCTTTGTGTTAGTTGATGAGTGAGAATATAACCCAGTTGCGGTAGGCGAATGCCTGTTGAACAGAATACTTTGGTTTAAGTAAGGCATATTTAAAGCAACTTACACAGTTTTAGAAATTGACTTTCAGCTTCTCAGTGATTTAATTTCACAACACGCTGGTGTCTCTTTTCCGGTGTTCAGCCCAGAGACAGGTTTGTGTGCGCTGTTAGATTTGCAAATTGCTGACCTTCCAGTGACTTTCCCTCTTAGATCCCAGCTGAGTATGGTTACCTTAAGAACTGTGGCATTAGCCCTGTTAGAGCATGCTCCACTGGGGAGTTCGGTGCTGTCTATTTTTAATGCTATTTAATGAAGGAGCGAGCGCCTCACTCAGCAATAAAAGAAGCATGATGGAAGACAGAACAGTGCATGGTTTTGGATACGGGAGAAGGATGTTTGAAAAGGTACAGACTGGCTGTGGGAAACGGTAATTTTAATTAGTCCTGATATACAGTGCTAACAGAAATCAGTTGATTTTAATGGGAGAAGTACACATGAATAGTCTGCTGTGTGTTTTCATAAACCTCTTCAGTAATTCTTAGAAGCCAGACTCAGCCACTAGAATGCCTGAAAACTTAAAAAAGAGACACTAACCAAGGAGTTGCTGCACACGTACAATTTTTCCTACGAGCTGTCGTATTCTTGGATGGTGAGAAGTGCAGAAATCATTTTACATCCCTAAAATACTGTCCTCGTGAAGGGTTTGGAGCTTGTAAAATGTTTGGGGGGCATAAAATAACTAGCATCCTTCTAAGATATTGTAACGTGAAGCTCTGCCTTGTGACTTTTTGTGTTTCTTTCATAAACTTGGAATCTGGATCCAGAATTGTGGCAACTGAGGCAGGAAGTTTGGGTTGAACTTGATAGAATATTCGAGTTGTTTTCCTTCCTTCCTTTGAGATAAGCACAATAGATTATCTTAGTTTAAATATTTTTGAACTGTAGATAGCAGGGCAAGCACTAGTAATTTTTGGAACGTTATAACGAGGGGGGAAATATCTTAATGTCATAGTGCGTAAAACCTAAGAAGCCATCTGTCTGCGACATTGGTATAATGCAGAACACCTGTCTTGAGGCAGACAGTGAAAATGTCCAGTCAGAAAGGTCTGTGTTGTTCGTTTTCATCTTAACAACATGCTATGATCGAGTTATATATCCCTGTTCGAAGCGAAGCTGATTAGACAAATGCCTACGTAGTTTCAAAATTGAGAAACGTAAGGAAAAGTGAGAAGTTTTTATTCAGTGGGGAAGTGAGTTACGTAAGTAGTGTTAAATAAAGCTGTTAGGGCTGTGTACAGAGTTGTTCTAGATCTTGTCCATTTCTGTGAAGGATAACTCCCCCCCCCCCCCGCCCCCGACCCGCAATAAACCACTAAGGGAAATGCATTGGAAGGAGTTACTGTAATTGGTTGCCGGTGTTCGTGTTTTCTACTTTGTACTTTTAGAGGGGAAAATTACAATCCACACGGGCTGCAACATTTCCCTTAGTGGTCATGCTCCTTGGACCCCAGTGCTGATACCTTTCTCAAGAGTCTCAAATCAGGGGCCATTCTCATCTGAATTCAATGTAGATTTTGCCTGTGGACCAGATAATGATAAGCTACATGAGCAGAGCGTGGAATGAGTCAGCCACTGAAGACACAAGGTACAACACAGCCAGAAGGGACTATAACTGGGGGTCCTCGTTAGGATTAGGAGACAGTTTGAAGTCCGTAAGGCTGGAAATTGCAAATGAACCGGTTCCATAGGAGTTAGTGTTAATTCAGATCTGCTTTGCGACAAGGTTAAGAAGGAAGATGGGGTTTAAAAATGATGTGGCCGTGAAAGTCATTTCTTCAGGTGGTGAGTATTGGCATCGTTCTAACTGGTACCACACAGTGGTAGTGTGTTTAGAAATTTGTGAATTTCTGATCAGAAAAAGAATTGGCTTCCTTAGCAATGCATTATGTCACCTGGAAAGTTCTGGACGTGTTTGAAGTCAGCGATGAACTTACAAAATCCGTATTTCCTCTCTTTAGACAAAGGACCTTTATTTTTTTAGGAAATCTGTGATTCCAGAGGCTCTCTGTGTCCCCTGACTTTTCTTTCTTTTGTTTTTCATTCTAATATTTAGAATTAAATACGATAAATAATTTCAAGCTGCGACGTAAGTAAATGTTGAAGGACTGTTGGAGGCAAAAAAGCATGTTAGCAGGATGTGTTTGTGACTGGGTTTGTTTTTCTCAGGCTATCTTTGTTTGTGGGTGTTACTTTAAGGGACCTTTATGCCAAGTTCTAATAAATTGGTTTTTTTAGTGCCTCATCTAAATGAATTTTGCTCATTTTGGGTTAAATTTAGCCCTGGATGTTCACAGGGTTTATTCCTTGTTTTTACTTCACGACAGTTTCATTTCCATGGGGATCAGATCTCAGCCGAGATACAAAGTGTTTCAATTATAGACATAAATACAGGATTCTTGATAAAGAATCAAGTGCTTGAGATGCAGTATCAAGTGCATTCAGCAGTTTTGAATGTTTGGTAGCATTGTTATCGTATGGTCTCCAAATCGTCTGCAGTCTGGTGATTTCCTCCCCCCCCCCCCACCCCCACTGCCCCCATGTGGCATAAAATGCCCGCACAACATTTGAAGACACCTTTCTCTAAGATCACTGGGACATTTCTGCGCCCTGGGAGATAGCTGGACAAGGAAACCAAAGAGGGAATTGAAATAATTATACCAGGAAAATGGAGAGCATATTGGAAAAAAAACAAAAAAGAAAAGAATCGACTTGAATACACCACATTGACTCTCCACTTTCCAGCTGAATCCTCAGCATCATGTTACGTTCCTCCTTCCTTGCTGCCCCCAAGGAGCTTAGTGTTGCCAGATGGAACGGGTGTTAATCACTACGTAGAGCCAGAGTAGATCGATGTTTTGAATTCCTCTACACGCTCTTCCCAAGGAGATTTCTTCTGGCATTTTTTTTTTTTTTTGGGGCCCCCGCTTAATGTACATGTCACCGCCACAGGTTATATAAGATTTTTCCTGTTGTAATCAAGTGATGAGTATTAGGGTAGCACTGCAATTCCGACGCAATTACAATGTTGAGGGATTAGTCCAGAATTGTCTCACTCAAGGCACGTACTCATTCTTCACTACATTTAGTGCAGGGGTTCTTAATGATGGAGGTACATTCTCTTGCATTTGTATAATTGTCCGTGGATTCTTTATCACACACTAAATACTTGAGATAAGGACGAAGACCGTCTCTAAGGGATGGAAACAAGGTGGATGGTGCTCATATCTTTAGCAGCTTTTCCTCTAATTGCTTGAGATATAATACTTTAGAACGTTCTAGTCCCTAGCATCATA